ACTACTTCGTCTGTAAATCGCCTGTAGCAAATGGGAACGCCCGCCCAGTTCGGTCGTCCGGATAACCGCATCCTAAAAGCCGTCGAAAGACTCGAAGAGCCAAGTCTTTGTGGTATCGAAGACCTCGCGGATCCTTTTCGAACCGCATTCGCATCGCATGGGCGTGCTGGATGAACAGTCCGAACGCTTGATGTACTCCTTCGCCAGTCCGAGCAGAGCATTCGGCCAAGTGGCAGTCGTTCTGCTGCGCAAACTCTTCTGCTTCTTTCCGACTGACTTGATGTTCGAGAGCAGCATACCAGTCTCCTATACGAATGCGCGAGTCAATACCAAGCAGTAAGAACTGGACTGGTATCCCTCCATCATATCTGCGAGCCCAACGCAACCCTCTATATGTATTGCAGACTTCGCCCCAGGATTCTGGGGAGTGCACATCGTATGCAAGCACTACTCCGTAATAGTCGCTCACGGATACGGTCTCCCACCGGATGATGTCCATAGTGTAATAGTAGCTCTCATAGACAAAACCTGCCGATTTGTCCTCGCGTATAGCCGCCGCCGCCGGCAACATCTGCCCGCCGATACCCTGTACATCGTTGTAGAACAACTTGTATTCTTCATGTTAGCACATACCCACGAGACAGTCAATCAGAATTCGTTTGCACCTTGTTCATAACAGAATCGGTCGCAACGCTCGACGAGCCCCACAGAGCAATGCACATGGTACCCTCCCTGTGGTCAAGCTCGTTGCTAGGCAACTTGCCCTCTTCTACTAGCTCGAGCCAGCGCCATTTCCGATACACAAGAGGAGGGGCCCGAGGGGGCAATAGTCCGATCCGAACAGCAGCGAGAGCCTGACGAAGGGCATCGAAGAGCTTCGTCTTGGCATTGGGTCCCCAACCTTGGGCATATGAGTCCTGGTCCAGCATGATGGTCTCGTGTGCGCGCTCCACAAACGCTCCAATAGCCTCATGAACGCCCTCGCCGGTACGGGCTGAACACTCGGCAAACAGGGATCCATCCTTGCGAGCAAATTTCTCCTTTTCTTCACGGGGAACCAAGTGCTCTCCTTGGATATCCGCCTTCAGACCGAGAATCATGACTGGGAGCGTAACACTGGGTTCGTCCTGCCCATCATGAATTGGATGGCTCCTGCTTATTAGATGTTTCAGCCGTACGACTGCATCCCAGGAGTGTGCAGAGCTAAGATCATAAGCCAGTATGATGCCACAGTAGTGGTAGATGCTCGTAGAATAATAGACCTCGGCCTCTGTACCTGTACACAGGCGTATATCCAGCTCGTACTGGTAGTCGCCGCAGTAATACACAGGGGGGTCGGGTCCGTCGAAGGTAGGATCGAATTGCACCTCAGCTAGTCTGCGGCCGCCTGTCATATCATCCCAGACCAGCTGGTAGCGTTTGAGCTCGTCAGTCCCTTCTCCATCTCGAAGTGCAAACCCCACTGGGACGACATTAACGAACCTTTCGATACAGAGACCTCTTGCCAACACCCGCGGCACCAAGAACGAGGAAGGTTATGTGCCTCGTTCCAATGGTTTTCCGAGTTCTCAAACTGGCAGCAGCCTCTGGCGTCCACGAGTTTCGGTGGATTGCTTTTGCGGGGTGAGATTCATCTTCGTCCAGGTTCTCTTCCTCTTTATATGGGCTCTGTTCCTCATACTTCTGGCTAAGACTGCTCTCGTCCAGCTTATCTGCCACTCCTCCCGCCATATCCCGCACCTCAGACACTGGTCTGCCGATGCGCAACAACCTGCGTATCCATTTGGGCATCTTCGAAATCGTGTCTCTGCAACAACGATGTGGCTTCGATTATGTGCAACGGTGAGCAAACGCCTTGCCGGGTAGGTAGTTGAAGAGAAAGAAGTATATATCCAATCGAACCGTGCGCAGCACGCCACTTGGCTATTTGGCAAATCAGCAGACTAGCAACCAAACAACCAACAACCAACCTCACCTTTTGGCTGCGGTGCAGCAATGGTGGTAGGTGTACTCGCAGAGGACACATTGTGGGGGTTAGGGTTATCTGGATCTTGACTTGAATTAAAACGACCCCGCAGATGACTTGACCCCGCCGTGAACTCGGAGGGATCCTGGTGATGCACACCTCGAAGCCCTTCAATAGAGCATCAAATCCATCGACCTTACCATCGCCAGTGTGCCTTTCACTATTCAAACAGCAGGCTGTGGTCGTGCTCGAATTTTCTACATCCAGTTTTGAGCGCGCGCCTGGCGGGGATGTCTATTTTAGGCGCAGTACGCTGCGATTAGCAGCGATGATTCCATGTGTGCTGAGGTCGACAGGACAACGCCGATCGTGCTGCATGGTCGGGCGCATGGCTCGCTGAAGCATGTCAGCAATCAATTACCCGGATTGGACCCTGGTTCAAGCTTGAACTTGAACTCCTGCGTGTCTAAGGAACCCTTAGGACTCAAAGTCGCGCGTTTGCCGTCGGCAGGCGGGCTGTAGTGTGTACCAGACTTTCAATTCTCCGGGTCGGCTCGCATCCAGCTGATGACTCCAATTGATGCGCGCGAAGCCAGGACATTCCTGGTTACTTCGCCGACTTGGAGGGTTGCAGCGGGATGAACAAAAGCAGGAGAACCCGGGTATGACTTCATCTCGCCTCGACAACGTGCACGAGTCCCATCCACATGGTGCTTACTGTGGTAGGCCAAGAGATGCGATCTCCGATGGAGGTCTGGGCGTGTTGATCTTACAGCAGGTATAAATAACTGCTGGCAGTCGCCTTCCAAAAACGAGGCCTAGTGCCTTTGGTGTTCCTCTTCGTCGACCAATGATTGACATGATGCATGGCCAGCTATTACTTTTAGGCCTGGCGGCGGCAGGTGTATTGGGCAGCTCCCTCGCAACACTTCCTCGGCAAGATGTTACAGCATCGGGGGGCGGTTCACCACCACTGAACTTCTCAGATGCCGCCCCGTTACAGCCGACCACATGGAATGGCAAGAAGTATGGCTGCAAGTGCTATCTAGGGCAAGCCTGCTGGCCGTCAGCCAACGACTGGAAGAAGCTCAACGCGACTGTGGGCGGCAACCTCCTCGTGGATATCCCGCCTGGTGCACCGTGCCACAATACTTTCCAAGGCCCGCTGGGGACAGTGAACACCTACAGCGCCGCAGGGTGCGCTGACGTCCAGGCAAACTTTGCCAACGAGACGTGGACGTGAGTCTCATCCTCCACCTACATAGACAACAAACGCAGTAACTGATACCGTCCGTAGCGTTGAGAAACCAGCCGCTGAACTATGGACTTACTGGACCAACGAGACATGCCGGCCAACAGTCGACCCATCCGCGCCGTGCACACTGGGGTACTACCCCGTCTACGTGATCTTGGCCAAGACAAAAGAGCACATCAAGGCCGGCATCGACTTCGCACGCCAAAAGGGCGTCCGCATGATCGTCCGCAACACGGGACACGACTTCATTGGGCGCAGCACCGGCTGGGGTAGTCTCGTAATTAACACGCACAGCTTCCAGGACGTCACGTGGACCAAGACGTACACCGGTCCCGGCAGCTACACCGGAACTGCAGTCAAGATCGGTGCTGGTGTCCAAGGCAGAAGCATCCTCACCCAGGGCCACGCTCGAAACCCGCCAGTTGTCGTCGTCACCGGCGAATGCCCTACAGTCGGCATCGCCGGCGGCTTCATCCAAGGCGGCGGTCACGGTCCTTGGACGACGCTCAAGGGCTTCTCAGCCGACAACGTCCTCTCCTTCGAGGTCATTACGGCCTCAGGGCAATTCACCATCGCGAATGAAGCCCAAAATCCGGACCTGTTCTGGGCTCTAAAGGGCGGCGGTCCCGCCTCCTTTGCCGTCATCCTCTCTGTGACGATGAAGACCTTCCCCGACGTCAAGTCTGCCGGCGCAATCCTGTACATCAACTCGACCCTGACAAACGACACTAATCTCTGGTGGTCCGGCATGACTTCGTTCCACAAGTACTCCAACCACTTCGTCGATAACGGGCTGTACGCGTACTTCGAGGTCCTGCCGCAGACCCTCCGCGTGCGGCCCTGGGTCGCCATTGGCAAGACAGCGGCCCAGCTCAAGACCATCCTGCAGCCGTTCCTCAGCGAGCTCGACACAGAGAAAGTCCCCTACGAGTTCGCAATCAAGGATTTCAACACCTTCTACGATCTCTACATCGACATGTTCGAGGACGAGGCCGCCGGCGGATCGGCCCTGACAGGTGGCTGGATGTTCAACCACGACGACGTCGCCAACCGCAACGACCAGATCATCAACGCCATGAAGACGGTGTTGGCTCCGGCACCAGACGTCTTCGGCTTCATGATCGGGCACCTGTTCAACCCCGGCTACGGCGTCCCCGTGGCCAACAGCGCCACCAATCCCGGGTGGAGGAACGCGACAGACTTCCTCATCACCACCATCATCGTCGAAGACGGCGCGTCGCTCGCGCGCAAGGCATATCTGCAGAACACGCTGACATACAAGATGGACGACGCCCTGCGCAACGCAAGTCGCAGCGGCACGACGTATGTCAACGAGGCGGACCCCTTCCAGCCGAACTGGCAGAGCCATTTCTGGGGCTCGGCGTACCCACAGCTGAAGAAGACGCGGAGCAAGTGGGATCCCTTGGGCATCTTCTACGCTGTTTCTACCCCCGGCACAGAGGATTGGCAGGTTATTCAGGACGGGACAAAGCTCTGCAAGGCTCTGTAGTCAGAGTGCATATGCGAAGTTGGCCGCACAAAAATAATATTGCTAAATACAAACATTTACCCAGACCCACCCTGTTCTCGACTTCGTGTCTCTGCCTCCCGCCCACAGTCGCCCTGCGACAGGGCACAAAACAGCAAAAGAGAACCGTGGAGGAGCTGGGAGTCGAACCCAGTACCTCGTGCAGGAACATGTACCCGACGATCGCTCGCCGTGTGTATGCTAAGCACGCGCTCTACCAGATGAGCTACACCCCCAAAGGACAACGTTGGTGAACAGAGTGGGATTCGAACCCACGCCTCTTGCGAGACTACGAAGCGGGCGGTGTCCGTGGTGGACGAATGCCTGAACGTAGCGCCTTAGACCGCTCGGCCATCTGTCCGAGGTTGTTGATGATTTCTCCACGGTTATCGCGCTTCGTGTGGGTTGGGTGGTGGTGGTGAGGGCGCTAGGGCTGAAGCGAGTCCCTTGTCGTATGCGGTTGTGGAGAATGACTGACTCGAGCAGTGAGTCCGCAGCGCGAAGAGGAAGTGAATGCACTCATGATTGCAAGCTATCGGGTACAACAAGACATGCGCATCTGCCAGGAGTGCACTGAATGGTGTCTCTTTCCAGATAAAGACCAGCCACATCTCGATATCAAGACACAGACTTGCGCCAAGATAATGACCCAGCACTATCAAAAGCAACCAAAAGAAAACCCCAAAAACAACATGATAAAGCATGCACCCGTCAAGCAGAGAACCTCCGCGCCAACTTCTGCCCCCGCTTGCCCAACTTCTTCAAAGCCTCGACAACAGGCCTCAATCCCCCAAGCGAATCACCATTCAGCAATGTGTCCGCAACCGCTCCATCGACCTCCGTCGAGTCCAGCCACGTATCAACCAGGTCCTGGTCCGGCGCGGAAAACGCCTTCGTCGCCTGCGGCAGCACCTTGCTGCACTCCGTCAGGGTATTGATGTTATACACCCCCAGAAGAGAGAGCCGAACATACTCCTGCGCATAAAGCTAGCAACCAGTTAGATAAAACCCGTTTGTGTGGCACGACAACATGACAGAGAGGGCCTACCGCATCCCAACCCGGCTGATCATGTCCAAACCTCCGAAACTCGGGCGCAATGCGCGGGTCCAGGGCCAGATTGACGTCGCTCTCGAACCTATACACGCGCGGCGGCGCGGGCCCGACGGTCTGCCTGTAGTACAGCGTATCCCACACGCCCGGCGAGCTGTCCTGCGGGTCGCCGGCGCGCGCCGGGTCGACGAAGAACTGCTGGCTCGTGCTGTGGGCGCCGATGAGGGCCCCCAGCCCGCGCGGGCCGATGGTCTTGTCCCGGAACAGCGCGATGAGCTCGTCGGCGCTCGCGTGGACGTCGGGCAGCAGGCCGGGCGGCGGCGGGACGTCGCGGTCCACGCGGCCGACGAAGGAGCGCACGCGCGGGCCGAGGGGGCAGGTCACCGTCGCGACCGTGGCGGCCATCTGCACCAGGTCCGCGGCGGTGACGGCCTGGTCTCGGTACTGGGCGTACAGGTCCCGTATCCACGCGACGACCGCTTGCAGGCCCCTGTCTTCGGGCCGGGCTAGTTCCTCGGCCGACAGGACGATGGAGCCGTCTGCGCCGCCGCCGCCGCGAGTCTTGGACCAGGCGCCGGCGTCGTGGAAGCCGAGCCGGATGGATGCTCTGGCTAGGCTGTTGCAGCGGCCGGTGTTTCCCAGGAACTTGGATGACATTTCTTGGGCGATGTAGGCCCATATGCAGCATGGGTCGGCTGCGCAAGCTACTGATCCCTTGGCTGGGATCGGACCTTGCCATGACTCGGTGCTCTGGCCTGTTTCGGTCCCCGTGAGGATTTTCTTGATGGACCGACCGACGGGCGTGAGTTGGCTGTCCGGGAGTATGGCGAGGTCGCCTATTAGCTCGTGTGACTCGACGTCGTCAGGTCCGGTTGGGGTTCTCCCTCGGGATAGTAGATCGTGCAAGGTCTTGTTCATTCCCGGCCATGCTGCAGCCGTTTCGAGGAAAGCTGACAGGGCCACTGCCTGAGCGAGGGTTGGCAGACGCATGGTATGGGACAAGAGAACAATGACAGGACCTGGCTGGAGGAAGGGTCAACGTTGCGGTTGAGGAAGCGATACCACTAGGTGTTTCCGAGACTGGTTACGTTCAACTGCCACCCTAAATAACACCACGGACAGTGGATCGGGGCCCAAGCTCATCCTCGGCTTCGTGAAGTGTACCGTCGGCCGAAAGAGGGAGCATGGCTGAAAGTGCTACTTTGGCAGGGCCAAAACACTAGCTCGTTACACCGGTGACAACGATATAAAACCATCCCTTCGAAGTCGAGTTTGATGATGGAGCTGTCGCAGTGAATGGGATACTGGCGGAGAGCCTCTGGATCTTACCGGCTGCAACGAAGCTGGGTGGCGCTGAGCTGAGTGATGATTCTGAGACTAGGAGACGCCCGCATCGTACGTCTTCTTGGCAGATGTGTCTCAGCCTAAGAATAAGGTTCGCGATCAGTGCTTTCGCCTTGCAACAACGAATAATCTGGTCCCGGCGACGTGGTCCCGGGTCACGGCGTCCGACTGCAGGGCCCCGAATAGGTCGCTATAGCTATGTCCAGCGGGGGACTTTGGAACTCCGTGAGCGATGATGCTGAGACTGTGGCAAAGATACTACCCCGTCGTCCAAAGTCGTATCTCAAGATGACCTTTACACGCGTTGTGTCTGGTCGAAGCATCCAATCGTGGTCGGAAGTTGCCGCGGTCAGCCAATGAATGCGCCTTGCTGGTGATTAATGCAGGAACAAGCATCAGGCATCAGGGACAGTGGCTCGCCGACCGCGTGTGTTGCTTCGCCTTTGTCTCAGCCATCAAGTGATTCTGGCTGAAGCCGACCTTGTTCAGGCTGCTGTACTCTGTTGTCGTCAACGGTGTCTCCATCGACTTTATCTAATCCCACGTGACTACGCTAGCATAAACTTATGCACACGGAGAATGCGCCAAAAATGAAACACCCCTGAAGTGCAAATCTTGCCATGGACAGAAACAACAAAAGAAAGGCTTCAATCTGTGATTGAAGCGCCCGTTATCGATGACCCTGACCCGATTTGAACGGATAACCTTTCGATGACCCTGGATAGGCTTGCCTATCTCTGGAGTCGAACGCGCTACCGTTGCGCCACAAGGCCAATTGATGTAGGGTTGAGACGCTATAGCCGCCGAAACGACTCGGAGGTGCGGACCGTCTCTCTCCTCTGTGTGGGGATCTCCACCACCCAAAGGGGCTAACTGGCCCTCACTCCGTGGAACCACAAGCAACGGCTTGGCATAGTCCTCTTTTCTTAACACCTCGCCTGTGTCTCCTTCACCCAACAAGCCATCAACCCAGTAGCTTTTCGCTGCCAGAGCAGAGGGATAACCTCTAAACACCTTGGATCAGGCACAACATCCCCTCTTTGGGCCCTCACGCTCTCGAATTTTCCTCAGAAATAAACATCTCAAAGACTGTCATTCGCAAGCACCTCGTCCATGGCGATAGAGGCGTTATGCTGAACTATATCGTGCCTTGGAGTAGGTGGTCGTCATATGCTGGACGAGTGTTTGGTTCACCCAACAGACTATTGTTGTCAAGCAGTTGAAGTGAAGAAGACGAGGGAGATCCTCCTTTCTGCGACCTGTCGGTGAGCTCTTAGTGTCATTGCTGTCAATGATACTTGATAGCCTTGGTGTCGCCACGGTAGGATGAGTACTTGCAGGATGTCTCCCCAGAAGATTTGACCTCAGATCTCCAATTGTCTGCGGTCTGGTGCCCTTCTTGCTCCATCTGTCGCTGGTGCCGTCGTGTGAACCGCAAATCAGGTGATATTTATGCGTCCGGGGAGAGGACTTTGTCGTTACCACAAGTGAAGACGCAGAGCATATGCTGAGCAGCGCATTGTACTTGAGTAGGCACTGAGGTGAACCCAGAAACTTTTTCGACAACCAACAAAGGCTCTTGCACTACATGGGCTCTCCACGCAAGACAGCCCGCTTCCCGCTCCAAGATGGCGTCGATTCATACCCTCTTCGGCAACCATTACGGTTTGTCTTCTCAAGCCGAGGAATAAGAATCCGGTTGATGAAGGCACCAATGACAGAGTACATGTGCAGCTAATCAGATACCGATCGAGAAACCAGGGGACTCCAACGCCCGACTATATCAACCTCGACCGAACTTGGTAAGAGGGAGGCTTGAGATTTTGGCTGACGGGCAACATCCTCATCGACTTCGACAGCCTTAAAGGTCGCGGCAACGCAATCGTACCACTAGACGCGCCTCCCCATGGTCCGAGGTCCGAGTACTTCCCACAGCTCGCGGCGGCAGGAAAGGCCGGCGGCTCGCTATTCCTAGGACAGCACAACCACCCAGGCTGGCAAGCATTCGACTCAATGCAGCCAAACCCAGTCTCCACATCCGACACGCAGCTTGGAAAGGAAATGGGCGGATTGAAGTTCGGCAAGCCGCACCCAGCGTCACTCGACGAGATCGTTGCCATCAAAGCTGCCCCCGTACATGCGGCCGCCTACCTCAGAACAGCCGGTCTCGATGGCATCCAGCGACACGGCGCGCACGGCTACCTACTCGCCTAGTTCCTCTCCTAGACCACGAACCTGCGCGCCGACACTTACGGGCGCCTCGCTTGAGAACAGGGCGTGCCTCATCACCGAGATTGCGGACGACATTCACCGCCAGACGCGAGACGGCTTCGTGTTCGGAATTAAGATCAAAAGCGTCGAATCCCAGGAGTAGAGGCTTTCGGCGGAAGAAGCGGTGCAGCTGTATGAGCTGCTCGAGAAGCATCGGTTCGACTTCGTTGAGCTCAGCGGAACGTACCAGGATAACCAGTGGCGAGGGCCCGTGATAGTAGCAAGGCTCGCGAAACATCCTCCCTGGAGTGTACAGACGAAGGCCTTCATAACAGGCAGGCTGAGAACTGTGGCTGCGGTAGTCGACGCGCTACAGAGCGTTGATGGAGTCGGCTTGGGTAGACCAGCTCTTGCATCAAGCCTTTTCTGAACGACCCGCTCCATTGCGTGAAGACAGCGTCATTGGCAGTATTCCAGATGCTTCGCATCGGGCAAAGCCTGGACCTTATGGATCCGTCAGACTAGGACACCATCAACCAGTTCAAACACGATGTCAAGTTGTCCAAGAATCTTAGGAAGACAATTTGAACTTAGGAGAGTTAAAATATTGATGAAGTCAAGTGGTCAGAGACGGCGGAATGAGACTTCAATCCTCGCGTTGTGATGGTGTGGTTGAGCTGGATCAACTCCTGTCAAGAGATTCCCTTGCATTATGGGATTTGACAGCGAAATCTACCTTGATTCAGTCTTCAAGTTGATCCAAAGATTCATGCTCCAAGATTCATGCTCCATGTTGACAGTTGCGACAGTTGGGCCTTCCGCCCCGTAGAACATTTCAGGGGTCTCCATACACCCCACTTAGCGAGATTGGATGCTCGGCCCGGTACCGGCCCCATAACTGTGCGCCTGTCATTGGCGGCTTGAGCTTGAACCCTGCTGAAACTGGCGCCACTGCTGGAACATGGCTCCAATTGGACATTGATGAATTTTGCGTCCAAGTCTCCTATTTGGGCGCTTCCAGTTCGTCTCTTCCCTTGACCCTTCTCACGTCTAAACTTTGCCGTTGTTCCCCCCAGGATACTAGTGCACTATTTACGTCGAGATCTATTGTTGCCTAGCTCGCCGTTGAAGATCGTGATGTCTGAATAAGCTGCGACAGCCGCCAAGACACGCTGCCGTTGCCCCAATGGCCGGCCTTGTGTACGCCCACGACTTGAGCATCGCAGATCGAGTGGTGCTCAAGAACTTGGAGCATGACATAACTCGACACAACAACGGGAAGAATGACGACGCGGATTCGTCCTCGGATACCAATGGCTCCTCAACTTCTTCGCTGGTTGAATCCGAGTCTTCCGGTTCCTTAAAGCGTCGTGAGGCTGGTATTGCCAAGCCAGACTGCGTCGACTCGGCAGGTACGTACGACTGACAGTCCACCCCTGATGAAGGGTATCGTCTAACATTTTCAAGAAGATGAACGTGACATTGCCATTATGAAGGCAATGTCTGATCCCAAACACGACGAGTTCGAACCGACAGTGTTTGTGTCAATGGACCTACGTGATCTGAAGCTTCGTTATCCAAGGCTTGACAAGTATGTGATCCAGCCGTACGTCAAGTGGGCGGAGGGCATCGCACGTCGTCCCACGGACGTCGTTTTCCTTACGCACCTCCTCCTCTACTCGGTGACCTCCCTCCCGAGCGCTATATACCTGTTCAGGAACTTCACCTACCTGCACGGTTTCTTGCACTTTGCCATGACGTTCTACTTCATGGGTACATACACCCTAATGATGCATCAGCACATCCACCAGCGGGGGATACTCGCTCCGAAGTATGCTCTCTTCGACACCCTCTTCCCGTACATCACCGATCCGCTACTGGGTCATACGTGGAATACTTACTACTACCACCACGTCAAGCACCACCACATCGAAGGAAACGGTCCAAACGATCTATCATCGACGCTGAGGTTTCAACGCGACAGCCCGCTTGACTTTGCATATTACGTCTTCAGATTCATGCTGCTCATCTGGCTTGACCTTCCGCTGTACTTCATCTCCAAAGGCCGGTACTGGATGGCCCTACGATGTCTGTTCTTTGACGTCGGCAATTACGCGACATATGTCTTGCTGGCAACATTTGTCAACTGGAGGGCAACCCTCTTCGCTTTCGTGCTGCCCTTGACGCTGATGCGAATTGGTCTTATGGTGGGCAACTGGGGTCAGCACGCCCTTGTGGATCGGGACGAGCCGGACTCGGACTTCCGGTCCAGTATCACCTTAATCGATGTCCCTGTAAGTTCATCCCAGCAGCTAACCAGTGAGACCTAGAGCTAACCGTCAATGCCAGAGCAACCGTTACTGCTTCAACGATGGGTACCATACCTCTCACCATCTCAACCCACTTCGCCACTGGCGAGACCATCCCCAGGCCTTCCTCAAACAGAAGCACACTTACGCCAAAGAAGGCGCACTGGTCTTCCACAATATCGACTACCTGATGATCACTGTTCGGCTCTTGATGAAGGACTACGAACATCTTGCGAGATGCCTCGTGCCCATCGGCGATCAAATCGCCATGTCTATGGATGAGCGTGTCGCTATGTTGAAGAACCACACCCGACGGTTCACGGAGGAAGAGATCCAGCAGAAGTTTGCAAAGTCTTCGTGATGACAAGATATGTGGTGAGTGGCCAAGAGCGGATCTAGGATTATCCAGCAGTGGCGTGGAGGATTAGAGTGAGGACGCGAAGGAACCAGGCATTTACCTTCTACTCCTCGATAGAGACCAATCAGCAATTTTGTGTCAGCGACCGCTTCAACATTCAGCATCGGACTGGAATACACTGTGATAGCTTGAGACATGTGTGCGAGCTTCTATAAGTTTTCACGACAAACAAGCGGAAAATCCGCAAAGATCATAGTCCGATCGATCCCAGCAGCTGATTCAATGGGCTTGAGGATTCCCGATTGGTAATCCGTCCGCGTTGAGGACCAACTGCCACGGTTGGACAACACCAGCGTGATATTATCACAATCCTCATCTTATGCACGGTGCCGATCGCCCTGGTTACCCTTTTCGGCAAGTGGCATGGATCCCTGATTCAGCTCGGCCCCTCGGCTGGAGCCGCCATGCTTAAGTCAACCATGCTCACCAGCCTCAGATGTTCTCTTCAGATTTCAAATCTACAGCATGTGGCGTCAGGCGCATCAATATACAATGATTGCTGTGGTCATTGATCATGCGCTCCGGTACGAATAGACGACGAGCAGCTCTTCCATACGGAGTCCAGTCTGCCTTGTCTGCCTTGACCGCCGGAAGACTGAAATCGATAGCGTGTGTTGTGTTGCACCGCTACTGTATGCCAAGGTATGCCAAGGCTTACAAGCTTCTTCAAGCTTTGTGGTCTTCAGCCCCCAACGCTGAAAATCCCGAGACAAGCAGCCGTGCCGGCTGGGCATCGTCTTTAGTTTCTTGGAACAAAGTTGATCAAATGGACAAAAAACCAACTTGGCCAGTGGCAAGTCATGTTGTTTCTCTCGTTCATCGTCAATTTTTTGAG